AAGTGTAAATAAACTATTTTTAGCAACCTGTCGGTCCGTCGGTCTGTCGGTCTGTCGGTCTGTCGGTCTGTGTGTGCACGCGTGTATCTCAAGTTCGGCTGAACCGATTTTGATGAAATTTTATATGTAAGTTTATTTCCACCATGGCACGGATCGATCAACTTTTGGTATATATCAGGCCTCGGGAACTGCACTTTTTAGCGGGCCTGTTTTACATTTTTGAGCATATTGAAGAACATATTCAACCGATTTACTTGAAATTTCATATATAAGTTTTGCTCTACCGGCGATGAAACCTCCTAACTTTTGGAAGAAATCAGGCGTCAGCAACTGGACGTTTACTACGGGCCAAATATACATTTTTGTGTATATAAAGAGAAATAATCAACCGACTTCATTGAAATTTAATATTTGAGTTCCTCGTATTAAAACAATGAACATGTAAATTTTTTGGAAAGATCAGGCATCGGCAACTAGACGTTTACTACGGGCCAAACATACACTTTTGTGTATATAAAGAGAAATAATCAACCGATTTCATTGAAATTTAATATTTGAATTCCTTGTATTAAAACAATGAACATGTAAATTTTTTGGAAAGATCAGGGGTCGAAAACTGATCTGCGGGCCGATTTTACATTTTTCACCATATCTACGGAACGAATTGATGGAGTTTCTTGAAATTTGATATTTGAGTTCTGGTTGTTACCGAAACTAACTGGCGAGCATTTCAGGGAATTCGGGTAGCACAAAGCGAAACTCTACTAAGCCAAATTTACATTTTTCTAGGTATGCTAACTATAAGCTTACTAATGTCTTAAAAATTGGAAAGAAGTATTTAACAGACATTTTTATTATATTCTGTAACACTTTCACTTAACTAGACAATACACATTGCGGTCGGTTATGTGCTGACCACATCAGATTTTTTTATTATGTAGTTAATTCAGTATTTTTTTCCTTTATCAAATGTATGTAAATGTTTATTGCATTTTTTACAGCACATCTTAATTTTTTAATTCCATTATGTGCAGCAATAGGGCATAAAGACTTATAGTTTTCAATTTGTAATAATGATGGCATACTTTCTGTTCTGGTATAGGTAAATGACCTGCTAAAGTGTGTCATGACCTGTATAACTGGTATTGACCTTTTGAAGTATATAGGTGATACGAGTTTAATTATACGTTTTTAGGAAGTAAGAAGTTTTAGGAAGTTGGCCTGAGAAGTTAAGTTACGAGTTGAGGAGTTGTCTGGTTTAACAGGTCATTAATCTTGTTTACAGAATGTTGTTTACCTGTCGAGGTCGTGTATTGCTCGACTCATATAGATTGAAAATATATTTTATGTAATGGGATATCAGGAAAGAATAGAAAGCTAAATTTATTTTTCTATAAGGATGATATGTGGTTATGTAATTATTAGAGGTAAAAAGAAGAAAAAAGAACATGCATGTAAGAATTACGCATAAGAATAAAAAATTCTTGGTTCAATGACATAAACGCATATTATTATTATTATAACGTACTTATATTTATTTTTAGAATCTGAAGAGACGAAAACAAAAAATATGCTTATAAGAGTTGCGCATAAGAATAATAAATAGGAAAAGATTCAGAGTTACCTTTATAAAGCATTTGTTTTGTTTTTGTTTTGCTGTTCTTGTTTTGTTTTCGCGTTAAAAGAGGTAAAAGAAATAATCTTATGATGCATATACCTACATATTTCAATAATATTTTTATTTAAGGTCAGAAAATTAAATAAAAAGAAAAAAGAAAAAGTGCTGGAGGTTTAAAAATATTATGTTATAGAAGAATATATAACATAGAACTGTATTTTTAATAGTAATTACCTGGTTTTGATTATGAAGCTGTTAAGTGGACCATAAAAAATTCTTTATGTAATAATACGCATATATTATATAACATACTTACTTTTATTTTTTATATGTAAAGAACCAAAAATAAAATATGATATGCACATATGTATATATTATGTATTATGTACAACATAGCTTAAGACCTAAATATAAGTGAAAAGAACACGTCTGTAGATAAGAATTACGGATAAGAAAAATTAAGATGTAGGTACCTATAAAATTTTTGTTGTAATAATTATTATACAACATCCATATGTACGTAGGTCTAGTTACCTTTTATTTTAAATCTGAAAAGACTAAAATGAGCTGTAATAGAAATTCTGAAAAATTTTAAAAATTTTTAAATAACAAAAAACTTCTTATTTATTATAAATATTTTATTTTTATTTTTCATTATACTTAATCGTTACTTATAAAAACTACTTTGAACTTAGTTCTAAATTTCCATGCTTATTTTTTTTAATTAAAAATTTGTTTGAATTTGCCATTTGGCAATATTCTTCTTTTTGTGAAAATAAATTCACATATTTTAACGGCATGAAAATAAAAAAGGATTGGGTGATAAACACCCAATAAATTTTCCCCTTTTGGGATATTTTTTTTTCTACGCCATTTAAGGCGTAGATTTTATCTGTTTCCATTTCGGAAACAGTTATATATTTTTTTGAAAAAAAAATTTGCTGTTCATTAAACGCGTTAATAAACAATAGTTCTGATTGTGATTGTTGGTGTTGTGGTTGTTGTTGTGGTTGTTGTGATTGTGTTGTTGTTGCTGTTGTGGTTGTTGTTGTTGTGGTTGTTGTGATTGTTGTTGTTGTTGCTGTTGTGGTTGTTGTTGTTGTTGTTGTGATTGTTGTTGTTGTTGCTGTTGTGGTTGTTGTGTCATATGCACCTCATGGTGCAGCTTCATTCTTTTGCGTTTTGGTGGAACAACTGTCTGACAGTCCGTTACCACAGCGTTGTATGGAGTAATGAACTCCTGCAAAGTAAGATCAACCTCGGTTGGTTCCATTTTGAAAACTGATAATGTTGGTAGCAAATTCTCTCAGTATTTATACAACATTTAACAGGATATAACTATTACATATTTTTGTAAAATTGTAAATTAATTAAAAATTCTTACAAAAAGGTAGATATAGAATACTTGTTTTCTTTCAAGATAGTACAAAGTAATCTATTTATAAACCTACTATGAAAAAAGCCTGCAAAAGAAACAAGTTAAATTAATAGATCTATCATTTTTATAGATCCTTTTTCATTCTCAATTTTTAATAGAAATCCTATGTTTAATGAATTATTTTGTGTATGCAAAATTATACGATTACAGCCTGTGACAGGTAGTATTTTATAATTGTTACAATGTTGAAGATTATTTATAATAGAAACATTGATCGTTGAAATGAAAGAAACATTATAATAAGAGTAAAAACTTCTATTTCTATCATTTTGCTAGGAAAAGTCATTTTAAAAACAACATAGATAATGTCGAAAAAAGTTATTTTACAAAAATTTTTAAATTCGAATCGCTATACAATTGAAAGTGATTATATAACAATTATCAAGCGTTTTAAGGTACGTGGGAGAAAAATAATATTTAAAATAAATCCAATACCCACCAATGAAGACCCGATTACTTGGGTAAGGGAAGCCGTGGAAAAAATCATTAAATATGTATTACAAAACCTGACAAAAAGTGACATGGTCGGGTTGACCTTTTGTGGAGAAAGTTTTCAACACCGCGGTCCTGCGTGGCTTGCTTATAAGCCAGCTGAAAGTTTAAAATTTGAAGACGTATGGGATATAATTTCAAAAATTTTTCAAAGTAATTCCGAGGGTAAGTTGTTACTACATTTTGATTTTGTATTATCTTTTTTATTACATAATTTTTTTTGTTACAGGTTTAAATACGAACAATTTTTGTGTGACAGTAACACATGTCAGTCTACCTGTTGGTAGAGGAAGGCCCAAGAAATATAACAATTTTGTTGAGGAATGTAAGCAACGAACTGGAATAATTAGTATTAACAGTAAAGATAACTTATGTTTGCCCCGTGCTCTAATTACCGCTATTGCCAAAATAGAAAATGATGTAAACTATCAAAAAATTCGACGAGATGTAAATAAGCAACAATTAACAAAAGCCCAAGAATTGGTAAAACAAGCTAACGTCATAATTCCCGTACTCGGCTGTGGAGTAACAGAATTAAAACAATTTCAAAGTTATTTAAATAATTACAAAATTGTTGTTTATGAATATGGAGGTGGTGGTAGAGATGTGATATTTGAAGGGAGTAATCATGGTAAAAGGATCAATTTATTACATTATGATGACCATTTTAATGTAATTACCTCTCTTACTGCGGCTTTTTGCTCTTCATATTATTGTGAGGAGTGTAATATTCCGTATCATGGAAAGAATGACCACAGATGTTCTCGTATATGCCCATGTTGTCAACAATTACCACAATGCCGATCAAATGGAAACAATATTTTAATGAAAGATTGCAACAGACTGTTTCGAAGCTCTATTTGCTTAGAAAACAATAAAGCATCGGGTCCAAAAAGCAAAAGTATTTGTGATGAAGTGAAAAAATGTTTAAGTTGTCTTAAGACATATAAATCTAATCGACAACATATTTGCGGGGAATCATTTTGCAAAACCTGTAATATTCATGTTAGTCAAGGACATCTATGTTTTATTCAAAAAGACGACAAAGAACCATCATTAAGGAACTTTATTTACGTGTTTTATGATTAGAAACACGACAAGAAAAAAAAATTAGTGAAAATGAAAGGCTTCACGAACCAAATTTATGTGTGTTATCTCAGAGATGTGATAGTTGCATCGATGTTGTTTTGCCAAAAATGCAAATTTAGAAGTAAAATAATTAAAGAAAAAGACGTTATTGCCAACTTTGTTTTACATTTGTTAGCATTGAGAAAGCTTTTTAAAAAAATTATTGTTATAGCTCACAATGGACAAGCGTTTGATCATCAGTTCATCTTAAATTATATATTACAGGAAACTGTATTAAAACCTAAATTAATCATGAGAGGAACCAAAATTATAATGATGTTAATTGACAACATAAAATTTCTAGACTCGCTAAATTATTTTCCAATGGCTCTCTCCGAACTACCGAAAGCTTTTGATTTACCATCAAATTTTAAAAAAGGATACTTTCCATACAAATTTAACACCATAAAAAATGCGAATTATGTTGGCCTTTTACCAGCAATAGAATACTACGGGGCAAACAGCATGAAACCAAAAGAACGTGACATATTTCTGCAATGGCATGAAAATCATAAAAATGATGTTTTTAATATGCAACGTGATATTATTGAATACTGTATTTATGATGTTGTAATATTAAGAGAAGCCTGCCTTAAGTTTCGCCCCGTTATATCCTCGAAAGGAAATACATTTAGTTACTATAAGTGCAAAAATGCAGAAAAAATAAATTATATTGATGTGAGTTCCTTATATCCAAATGTATGTAAATACGGAAAATTCCCTATTGGACATCCCAAAATCCATATTGGAAATACTAAATGTTATTCATTAAATTTACAAAACATAAATGGTCTCATAAAGTGTAAAATATTGCCACCTGAACGTTTGTATCATCCGGTTTTACCGCTGAAGCAAAATAATAAATTAATGTTTACGTTATGCCGTTTATGCAGCGAACAAAGAAATCAAAATAAATTTTGCACACATTCAAATGATGAAAGAGCCTTAACAGGAACTTGGGTTATCGATGAAGTTATTAAGGCTCTAGAAAAAAATTATAGGATATTGGAGACGTATGAAATATGGGAATACGACGTATCACAATATAATAAACTTAAAAACGCTGAAGGATTATTTAGTAAAATGATGGATAAATTTTTAAAAATAAAACAAGAAGCTTCAGGGTGGCCCAGCAAATGTTGTACTAAAGATCAAAAAGAAAAATATATTGAAGATTTTTTGCAAAACGAAGACATACAGCTCGAATATGAAAAAGTTTTAAACAATCCTGGGTTACGATCATTTGCCAAATTGATGTTAAATTCATTTTGGGGTAAATTCGGACAAAGAGAAAACTTACAAAAAACAAACATTATAAATGAGCCATTTGAGTTGTATGAGATGTTAACTAATGCAGCAATAGAAGTATGCCACATTTTACCTATAAATGAAAGAAATATTGTTATTAACTGGCAATACAAAGAAGAGGTAACAGAATCTTTATCAACTGTGAATGTCTCTATTGCTGCATTCACAACCGCACAAGCCCGTCTAAAATTGTACACATACTTGGAAAAGCTAGATAATCGAGTTTTATATTACGATACAGACTCAATATTTTACATAAGTCGTGAAGGTGAATATGAACCCCATACTGGAGAGTTTATAGGGGATATGACTAATGAATTAGAAAGCTATGGCCAAGGTAGTTATGTTACAGAATTTGTAAGCGGTGGTCCAAAAAATTACGCCTATAAGGTTTTTTCTACAAAAGATAATTCTGAAAAAGTGGTTTGTAAGGTGAAAGGAATTCGCTTAAACTACGACGCTTCACACAAAATCAATTTTGAAACGATAAAGGAAGCTGTTTTAAATTTAAACAATTTTGAAAATATTTCCATATTTTCTGACAATATTCGAAGAACAAAAGAACATGAACTCAATACGGTGTCTGAAACCAAAACATATCAACCAAAATCCGAAAAGCGAAGATTTTTGTCTGATTACAGTTCGTTGCCATTTGGTTATTAAAGAAGAAAAATAACTCAATAAATAGTCATGTAATTTTATAAAACTAAATTTAAGATAATAAAATGTACAAGTAATTTCAAATTAAGTCTTTTTTATTAATCCAGCTGTTATGTTTACTGTCAAATCCCAACCACTTTACAAAAATTTTATTGCCCTGTTTTTTTAGGATTTTTTCTACTAAATAGGCGTCAGAATTTTTAACAGGTGTTAATTCAGGTTCATAAAATTTACCAGATATATCATTACTCTGATAATCACGCAACTCATAAGTAACTGGATATGTATTATGTACTTTAATAACTTTAAAAATTTCAGTAGACCAATTTGCATTATAACCTTTTTCAAATATTCCTTTATATTTACTTATCCTAACATAGTCTACTACTTTATATTTATGTTTTTGATAAATTTTAGGCTCAGCATAAAATTTTTTTAAAATAAATTCTTCATTTTCTTTAGAAATTTTTCCAGGTGGTAGCTTGGTTTTTCTATGGGGGGTTGAGTTATATATTTTTAATAAAGACGGTAATATAGTAATCCATTTGTAACTACCCTGTAAGCTAAACTTTCTCCACATCAAATTTTTTAAAGTACGATTAAAGCGTTCTACAATAGACGCCTTAAGATCCGAAAACGTATGGTAATGATTAATTCCTTTCTCCCGCATATAATTTTTGAATTTGATATTAAAAAATTCTTTCCCTTGATCTGAATGAATATTTTTTGGTACAGTTTTACTTCGTTTTATAATTGTTTTAAAAGCTTGTAAAACATTATCAGCAGTTTTATTTTTTACCGGTTCAGCAAATGCGTGCTTAGAAAAGGTATCTATAACAGTTAACATATATTTTTTGCCCTTATTAAACTTTGCATAAGGAATCATTTCAACTAAGTCAATTTGCCATGTATCATTTAAACCTTTTTGTAGAAATCTTCTCCGGTAATTTTTTCGAGCCGGTCTATGAATTTCTGACACTATTTGAGCTCTTGACATATTTTTCGTACCAATTAATCAATTTTGCAACTTCAATTTTGTATTTTTCTATTGTATGGCATTCACAAGTATCAGGTCCAGATGTAGTATCGTTGCAAGCCCAAGGGCAAATAGTAAAATGGCTTCCGTGTATAGAAGAAGTTATATGTAGTTTATTTTGAAATTTTTTTAAATAGTTGTTTAAATATAAAATTCGTTTTTTATGTTCGTCTAAAATTACTGAATCATATACATTTAGAAACTGATTATCGTCCATTTTTTAAATGATAAAATTGCGGAAAATTTTTCTATTTATATAAGTTGGGAGCTTTCCAATTCCGATATAAAAATGACGGTTTAGTTCACGCATCGTCACATTTTCAATTTGATTTTGTGTGCGTACTAATACAATGGAAGCAGATTCAACTAGTGTTTCAAATGAGATGTGTAATCACAGGAATCAAACTTGTGAAAATCTACCCATCCAAGTAAATGAAGTCACATCAACCGTTGATGATGAGGAGTTAATATTAACTCAAGAGTTTATTCCACCAGGACAACAATATAGAAACAATGATAACGATAACGCAAACCAAGATAAAGACCTTTGGGACGGAAATAACCAGGAAGGTGATCCAGATTATTATAATATCTTTTAGTAGCTTCTTAAAAACACAATTCTAATTAAGAAAAGCTTTAGTATATTACAATTGACAATCGTAGAAGCATAACAAGTTTTTAAAACTTACTAAAGAAATAAGAATGGATACTCAATTACCGAGGAGAGATAATGTTTCAATTATGTTAGATAAGGAAGAAGAATCGATTTCGGAACCAAATTCGTTCTGCTGGAATTGCTGCAAATGTCTCATGCTGTATATGGTATTTTTATATTTGCTTTTTATTATTTTTACAATTACTCATGTTTTAAATAACACAAAAATAATGTAAATAAAAGAAAAAATAAAATACAAGTAACATATTAGTCTAGTAGCATAGTGCTTTTATTTATTTCTAAATATTTTTTTATCTTATTTTTAAGTAAAAACGGAATTTCATAAAACAATCTAGAATAATTACATTGAAAGTTAAATCGATCTAATGGTATATAAATTTCACTTTTTAGTATGATTTCATTGTTTTCTACACATTGTCTTATATATTTCCTTACATAGTCTTTTACACCTTCTTCAGCCTTGTGGTTGTAATCCATTACCAAATGAATAAAATCAATTAGGATATGAAATTCATCCATCTCTTCGCTCCTTAACACGAAAGTTTGTAAATTTTTTGTTTTTATTCCAAATTGTAGACAAGAGACCTTGTTATTTATAATTTTTTTTTTATATTTTGTTTGAAATTGCTGATAAAATTCCACCCAATCTTCATAATTTACAAAAATTTCCTTTTTTCCAATACGGTGTATTGAAATGGTTGCTTCTAATAATTCTACGTGGAATCCTATTACTACTTTTACAGTATGTGTTTTGTTTAAAAAATAAGTATACGCCAACAACATGTTTTTAAGAAACACTGATTAAGTAGTGCTGATCTAGCTATCTGTTTTTTAAACTGCATTTTAATTGAGACATTTCATCTTTTATATAACATGATTTCTAGAAACACATCTCTGAATATTCTGCTTTCCAAATATTTTGTGAAATTTTCTTAAAACTATTTGATCATTTTTAATATGGTTGCGTTTCTTAAATTCTCGTAAAAAATTATTCATACTTATACCAAAATATCTATACCATGCATACACGCAACAGTATTCTCCACAAACTTCTGAAAAGGTGCTTTGTAATTGTTTGTCATTGAAAACAATACATTTATCTTTTAAAAAACTTAAAATTTCCTTTTCATTTGGTAAACCTCCATAAGAATCAAAGTATTCAACACAACCATATTTTGGAATATATATGGCTAACCAATGTTCGCCAGGATCTTTTGCTTTATCAGTATTTATAATTATAAGGGAAGATCTTTCAAGGTTTTTTGGTATTTGATCTAAAGCAAATACACCTCTAAGTTTTTTTCTTGTATATTTATTGCAATTTAAATATTTTATAATATCTAAAGTATTCATAAATTTAATTCACTTAAATCATAAACTGTACTGTTTTCTTTAATGTAATGCGAAATGAAATCTTTTTTGATTTTTCCGTTAGTCAATATCACATTGAATTTTTTTAATATTTCTTTAAGTTCATAGCTTATATTGTCATTAATCAAAGTTCCAAACGAATAGTTTTCAAAATTTTCATATATTAGTTCCTTAGTTGGAAATTTGTAAGAAATCTCCTTTACAATTTTTTTGCATTTTTCTTGAATCCCAACTAAGCAAATATCTTTTACAAATAAAGTATTCTTGTCGTCACAACAAAACGTTATATCAACAAGTGCATAAGACGATGACATCATCTTGAATATTAAAACCATTTATGTAATTGTTCTATTTATAGGTTTGTGAAAATATTTCTATTTTTGTCAATTTCAATACTTGCATCAAATTCTCCATAGACAATAGCAGTCAATACAGATGATTGCGCTTTAGATAACCTTGCCTCAATTCTAATTGTACCTTGATTAAATAGACCCTGACATATCTCATTTCCTGATGCATCTGGTGTCAAATCGAAAGCCAAGATGAAAAATCCACTACTAAACATAGATTTTGATATTTGATGTCCTTTGTCATTATGATAAATTCCTGTACCAGAGAAAAGTGTATGGCATGCACGAGTATGACAATTATTTTCATCTGAAAAACTTGTTTCAATTGCTGTGTTTGGTACTTGTACACCATTTACATACAATACAAACTGGGACATATCAAAATGTCGAAAATTATATGGATTTTTTGATCTTTTTCCAGAGTAGCCAACATTTTCTGTAAGGCAAAAAATTATGGTGTTGGGTAATTGCCCAATGAAGACATTATCAAGTGAAATAGTTGATGTATTAGAAGGAATTGTAAAACTTTTTACTTCAACACGTTTGTAATTGTACTTGGCATTAGATTTTTCTAGAACAGCATTATGGGCTAGTAGTACACTTGGGTTTATTGTTACATGCTTCATAAATAATGTAGCTTCCAAAATTTTTAACTGAGATTCATCAGCATCGTCTGCAAAAATATAAAAATCTGGTTTTTCAAGTGTTAAAGTAATTCTCACATCAACGTTGTTTATTAAAAGAGTCGGTTGGTTAAACATATCCAAATGTAGTTTACCCATTAGCTCTACGATATTGCTGGTGTGATAAAGTTTTTGACTTTCTTTTGATCCATTATTATCTGGTTTTGCTATGTTTGGTTTATCTAAACACCATCCAGCACACTCTAAATGAGTAGTAGCGGCATCCGTACCATAATTTAATAATGATTCAATGTATACTCTGTAATGATAATTTCCATCTGACGGGGTAATACTTTTTCCGTTAAATTGAACATTACACTGTTTTATTATTGAGTGTAGAAGATTATTCACTACACTTGGTTGGGGCAATGTTTTTCCGTCGGCACCTTTGTCGTTATTCCAATGGTTTTCGTCTTTTTTAACAATTTGTACCTTTAATCTAAGATATGTAGAAGATAAATCTCTGTATGTATCACCATGACCTAATGAGACAAATTCAATAGTTGATGGATTATCTAAAGAAGTAATAGGATTGTATGAAACTTCTTCAGATCTTAAAATACTAGATTGAATTGGCTTTGTTCTAAAAATATCCAATTCTGATTTCATACATTCAATCATAATTAATCAAATATATCAACTTTTTTTCTTTTGCTATTAACTTTTCGTCGCTTTGAAGCAAAATAGTCGATTTTTTTAATGAGGCGCCTTTTTATAGTTTTTCTTTTTCTTTTTCCAGATCCATACATTTCGTTTAATTTACAAACTGCTCCACGTCTCACATTTTTTAAAATTTCCTTACCCCGATCCTGAACTACTTCTCTTATATTTGCTCCAGTTGCAATATCAGATAGAGCATTCATACTGGAATTAATTGCTTCATTTTT